CTCATTCATCTTTGATGGATTGAAAAGCCAAAGAAGGAGCAGAGGAGTGTGTCTGAGAGAAGAATGGGCCACAGCGAGATCCCCTCACTGATGCCCTATATTTAGGGATGGACAAGGATAGGTCCAAGCACTTTATGGGAACTTAAAAGGTGGGGCTGACCTGGTTCAAACAAAGTCCGTGATGTCCTGAAAGGAGGAGGAAAGGGAGAAACGGAAAGCTTAGCCAATTGTTAGCTGTCAGTGGAACATTCCCCAGGAGACATTTGACCACAATGTGGGGGCCGGGGGTTGAGGGGTAGGTGGTCTTGAAATGGTGGGAACCAACTAGAGCCGGCCAGATGCTGGCCAACCCCTTCCTCCGTGAAAGAAAATGCTTTGGTCCCGTCGTGGTTCCTTTCTGACCCATAGCCTTCTCTGTTCCTTGCTAGCCTGATCCAGCCTGAAGATGACCCCACTGGCCGCGGTGGTGTCCGGCTCCCGCACCCGGCTCTTTGCCTGCTTCCTCAGGCTGGGTGCTCAGCAGACCAGCCCACTTCAGCTGCACACGGGGGCCAGCCTCGCAGCCAAGAACTACTATGAGGTGCTGGTGCTGGGTGGGGGCAGTGGTGGCATCACCATGGCCGCCCGCATGAAGAGGAGGGTGGGCGCAGAGAATGTGGCCATCATTGAGCCCAGCGAGGTAAGTCTCCCCCTTTTGCGTGTGTGTGTGTGTGTGTGTGTGTGTTGTGCATTGTGCATGTGCATGTGTGGGTTAGGGGTAGGGTGGGGGTGACTGTCAGGCACTGGGCCATCATGTTCCCAGGTTAGTGCTTCTCTTTCTGGGCATAAAAAGTGGGCCGTCTGAAAGAACTGGGAGAAGGTGTGGGGAGGGAGAGAGCAAGGACAGATCTTTTGGCTTCTTGTGTTCTCTGTGTTAGTTTCTTAGGGCTGCCATGACAAATTACCATAGGTGAGGTGGCTTAAAATAGCAGATAATTTATTCTCTCACAGTTCTGGAGTTTAGAAGTCCAACACGAAAGTGTTAGCAGGGCCATGCTCCCTCTGAAGGCTGTGCAGGGCAGGGGAATCTGTCCCGTGCCTGTTCCCTAGCTTCTAGTGGTTGTGTATAGTCCTCGGTGTTCCTTGGCTGCTGGTTCATCACTGCAGTCTCTGCCTCCATTTCTGTGTGGCCTTCTCTCTGTGTGTCTCGTGTCCTCACCTGACCTCCTTATAAGGACACCAGTCATTGGATTAGACATGAGAGACAGTCTAATGGATGACGTCCGAGAGTCAAGGACACTCTAGTCCAGTAAGACCCCATCTTAACTTGATTATATCTGCAAAGACGCAGTTTCCAAGTAAGGTCACGATCACAGGTCCCGGCGTGAGGACGTCAGCATCTTTTCTGGAGAGGGACCATTTAACTCATATCACCCTCCACCTTCGGTCTCATGTCCAGAGGAAAGTCTGGGGCCATTGCACTTCCCTTTCCCTGTTCCGTTCTGGAGAAAGGGTGATGAGTTATGGGACTGGGGGGGCCTCCAAAAAAGTGTTAGTGGGTTTGATAAATTTAAGTGCAAGGGATTATAAACAGAATATATAGCAGAAAAGGTAGCAGACATCAGGCGGGGAATTGGAAAGTGTTTATAAGGCACTATCATGAAAAACATTTTAAGACTGTCCAAAAGCTTCAGAAAAATGGTCAAGATTTTTGGCAGTTTGCCTAATGTTTCCTAAGGGACTGGATGTACACCAGCTGGGAGCTGTATCCTTGGAAGGGAAAAAGCAAAGTGAATCTGGTGCCTGTTTGGTGGAGAGGGTAGAGCAAGAAAGGCACACTCCTTTTCAGGAGGTCTTCCCAGCACCAGATGAGGCTGCCCAGGGCTCCTGCAACCTCCGACTGGTGTGGTGTGATCTGTGGGGAGACTAGAGGGCCCTGTCTGTCACTTTCCTTTTTAAAGTAACTTTAATTCAGGGGCAACATTTTAAATGGCAGTGGTCTTAGAGCTATATCCAGTGGCCTCTGGTGGATTGTAGCTAACCCACAGAAGGTCTCCCCGTGGGGCTGCTCTCTGTAATGAAGCAGGCTCCTCCAAGGCACCGGACACAGTTCAGGAGGCCAGGATGGAGTCTGTGCTGCCCTGTGAGGAAGTGCAGGATGGGGGTTCTTGAAGGAGCTGCCAGTGACTCAGGCGTTTGGCACTTTCCCTCCTGTGTCTGGTTTAGTGATTGCTGGAGCTCGAGCTTGCTTTGTAGTCTTAAAAAAAAATCGGAGCTTGTGTTTTCGTTCCCTTTTCTGTTCAAGATGAACTTGAAATTCTTGAGCTCTCACAGCTGGAGACGTCTGCCCTCCTCCTCTTTGATCACACGCATTATGGCTGTCGGGAGATTGCAAAGCCGTCCCTTATATCCTTGTCACTCTCTGAGGGAGTCGACAGTTCTGTTTGGCCCGTTTGAGACATCTTGGCAAGGTTGAGATCTCTTGGTCCCCTAGGCTACTCTGTGATTGAATTGGAATTTTCAGAGGCTATTAAATCAGTCTACCGTCTGGCCCCCAAGCCTAGAACTTTCACAGCTAACTGAGATCAAGAGTGGACCATCTGAATGAAGAAAGCTCCAGAAAATTGTGGAAATTTGGGCATAATTGGGTAGGATCTGATGCCTCCTTGCTTTGGGTGTTAAACCTCTGAGAAAGGAGAAGAGGGGAACTAGGGCTCATATGGAACGTCCGCGGTCCTCCCCATGGGCTTGGGAGCCACGGTTGGAGGTTAAGTTTCGAGCATCCTCAAAAATGGCTGTCCACTTTTCAGACTCACCGTAGTCCCCACAAACTCCTGAGGAACCATATTTAGGCTGCTGGGCTTAATTTTCTTTATATCTATGCACATAAATGTATTTATAATATGTGTATATATGCATGTATATATGCCATGTTTATGTTAAACACCAAATCTACTTTCAGCAAGAAATAATTCAGTGCTCACTAAAGACAGTGTATGGATTTTTTCACCAAACTTGACTGCTCTTCAGAGCTTAACATAGTAGAAGACACCAATGGAGTCAGTGGGGGGAGACTAACCTTCTGGAGACTTTTGTATATGATGCTCCAAGGGTCAGGAGGGAGTAACTGAAAGAATCTAGTTCACGTACTTTTAGCTATGACCCTTGTGATCAGCTTCTCATTGAAATGAATCTCCAAATACTTTGTTTCTCAGAGACATTTCTACCAGCCAATCTGGACCCTGGTGGGTGCTGGTGCCAAGCAGTTATCCTCATCTGGCCGCCCCACAGCGAGTGTCATTCCATCGGGTGTGGAATGGATCAAAGACAGAGTGGCTGATCTGAACCCAGACAAGAACTGCATCCACACAGACAGAGGCAAGGAGGTAACCACTGGGGTCCTTTGGCTTTTGTCAATCTGAGGGCTTGTATTGAATGCACAGCCATTGTCAAACTGGACGGCTTCATGAGGAAAGGGTGGTGTATGTGCACATGTGCTGGACACTGCATGACATGGGAGGGGCTGTGGTGAGTGGAGGGTGGGATGGATGGAAGGATGGAGTGATGCTAAATTAATCGATGAACAATGAAGACAAGGATTTGTTGAACACCATTGTTTACCCTATTGCTTGGTACAGTATCTCGTGCCTGAATTTTTATTGAACAAATACTACTGCTATGTGCTACTTATATATGTTAAAATACCAGGTACCTCCCTCCTTTTTCTTTTGAAGCAGACCTCTTCTCCACCTGACAACTGGCCCTGCAGAGGAAGGGGATGTTGGAAAGCATCCATCCTAGTCACTCTAGGGGGCGCTTTACCAGAGTTGTAAGGAAACCAGGTGACCATGGTTGGTGTCTAGGCCAAGAACTGCTGCTGCTGCAGCTTGAGGCTCATAATTGCTCAGCATCATTTCGGAGTCTCCTCCCACCCCTACCATCCAGGGATCGAAGCTTTTCAGAAACCGTAGTGTTTGACTGAGGGGATGAGGGCAGGATGGTGAGAAGACAGGCTCAGAAGCCATCAGCAGCATCTTGTCCCCTGATATGCTGCTGAGCCCGGGACGGCCCTCGTGCTGCACCTGGCCTGTTCCCGGCTCCCGTGGTTCTTGGGCCCCCGGGTGTTCTTGGTCTTAATACCCTGACCCGTCTCCCCCAAATTGGGTACTCTGGCATTGTCACAGAACTGTGGAACTGAGAGTTGGTGGGGATCTAACCCCTTGCCCTAAGCAGGGACCACTGGCTGCAGGCATCTTCAACCTTCCCTTAGTCATGGATCTTTCTGAGCAGGGATCTTAGCCTGCTCTAGAAAAATGCTTTTATGTCCTAATTTTTGCATTTAATTTCAAGGAGTGTAGAGATTCTTTGTAGCCTTTCCCTGAACCTTGGTCAAGATTTCTGCCTACCTTCTGGCCGGTCTTCCTTCCTTCCTTTTTTCCCTCCCTTCTTCCCTTCCTTCCTGCCTGCCTCCCTTTCTCAATATTTATTAAGCATCTACTAAAGCCTAGGTATAATTTTAGGGATATACAAGTGAACAAAAATAGGCAAAAAATCCTTATTATCCTGGATTTTATATTCTAAGGGAGGAGGACATACAATAAACATAATAAGTGGTTATATAGTGTGTTAGAAGGTGATGAATATTAATTTAAAAAAATAGAGCTGTGTTACTGGGATTGGGGCATGTGAGGGTAGGGGGTTAGATTTAAAATGGGGGAGTATGTGTGTATCCAAGAGCCAAGGACGTCTCTGACAAGTCATCCCTCTTCATTTTTTTAGACAGACAGGTTATATGAGAGTTCTGCCTTTAATAAAGTCAGAACCCACCTTCCTGTAGCCTCTTTTTTTTTTTCTTTTTCTTGGGCCTCCAGGAGTGTTTTTGGCCATAATACCTTTCTTGTTCCTTATTCTTGCTACAGCGTGGGAGAGAATGTCTTCTCTCTTTTCTGAGAAGAAACCTTCCAACTATTTGAAGATGGCTCTTATAGTCTGTCTTAGTTTTCTCTTCATGTTGACTTGTCCCCCTGTCCCCACTTTCCTCATATTTCATGGTCTCCAGTCCCCTCCCTACCCCCTTTACCCTGCTTTGGACGTCATCTGGCTTGCTAGTGCCCCCAGGATCTGTGGCCCCAAGAGGTGCCTGAAAGAGTAGCCAGTGCTACAGAACCGCCCAGAATGGAGTGGGACCATTCTCTCCCACAACTGGATATAGTCCAAGCAGCATTTGCCAAGCAACAATTATCATAATGCTGATTCATGCTGGGCCAGAGGTCAGTTCAAACCACTGGGTCTTTTTTTCACATGATCCACTGTCAAGTCAGTCATCCCCCATCCTAAAATATATACATACTTATTTATTTACATTAAATTTTAAAATATATCTTATTTTCCCCCTGTTGACAAACTTCCTTATTTCCCTGTATCTTCAGGAAAGCAGGCTGAATTAAACACAAAATGGTTCTCAATTCACAAGACTGAGCTTTGGGGCTCATTTCCCTTGCCTGTCTGCTGCCAGCTCAAAGGGCCAGCAGACTTGTATCTTAAAATACACATCACCCCTTTGTACAGCAGTGCTTGCCTCCTAGTCAGACCCCTTTGCATTACAGGAATTGCTCAGAGTCCTTATGGTTGGGTTTGTGTACGTCTTAAGAACCACAAACTTGTGTCATCTCTTGAGACTGAGAGGCACTGGTAGGTTTTCTCTCTTCTGAGCCCTGCGTAGACATCTAAGGCCTAGACCTTTGGGATAGCTGTAGTTTCTTGTTTTAGGGCTGAGAAAGAAGTTGGTATAAGCTAGTAAGACTTTCGTCCAGGATATTTTAAACAGAAGTCTTCCATAGCCAGATATCAGAAACCTACATATAATGTCTCATCTTGTTGGTTTTTCCCAACTTGCCTGGATCTTTTGGATCTGTGATTCTGTCACCCGATTAGCAATTTTTCCTAGCCATTTTCCATGATAGCTTCATTTAAGTTCAAGGTTTTAATTATTTAACATGTCCCTAGACAACTTTTCCTAGCTTATGTAAATCAATCAGTATCTTTTGAAGATAATTCAAAAATTTACCAAATCTTTCCATTCTTTGTTTACACTTTCCAATCCTGTTTACTGTGTGAAAGGCAGAGTTGAAAGTACTGCTGAAATCCAGACTCAATGTGTCTCTGACTCTTCCTGACCCAGGAGTCTGTTTGTCTGGAATGTGTCCCACAGGCCCTGTATAGACTGGTCCTTGCTCCTTCTCAAGTCTTAACCTGGTTATATTCTCTTTCTTGTTCCTACTCCAGCACACTGAGCTCTCATTTCATCAAATACCTTGGTCTCCTTCTCCCCCAGGACATTTGCACATGCCACTTCCACCTCTTCCCCTAGCTAACTCCTACTTGTCTTTAGCTTAGATATGACCTCTTCAGGCAACCTTTCCCTGACCTACCAGACTAGTCAGGTTCCCCCTCGACATGCCATCACAGCATTCTGTGGTTCAGTAATTGTTTGTATGATTATCTGATAACGCCTGTCTTGCCCAGTAGACTGAGTTCTGGAGAAGTAGGAACTGGGTCTTTCTTGTTCAGTGTTGTAGATCCAGGAGCTGGCACAATATCTGTCACATAGAAGGTGTTCAGTAAATCTTTGTGATCCAGTTGTGTCTCAGTTTCTTCATCTGTAAAATTATGCTACTAATAATACCTACTTCATTGGGTTGTTGTGGGATTAAATGAATTAAAACATTGACATTCAGAACAGTGCCTTGTACAAAGTGAGCACTCAAGAAATGTTGCTGTTATTATTTTTTAATGAATACATGGGAAAAAAAGGAAAAGGAAGTATTTATTGAGTATCCACTCCAGCCAGCAGAGTTCTTGACTGATGACTGATGGAAAGCAGGTTTGCGATCTGTGAATCCATGTTGATGCTCTTCTTGTTCTAAAATTTTAAGACACATCTATTTAGTAGATGTGCCTGGAATTTCAAAATGGATAAACATCCTGTTTACTAAGCCATTAGTGTCAGAATTTACCTCCCTCACCCCTATATAAAATGAGAACACTTGCCCATATTTAGGTTTCTGGCAAGGTCTGCACTATTCTCTGAAATTGCTCAATAATTTTGTCTACAAGTTTTTGCAGTTCCTTAGAGTTAAGGTCATCTGGCCTGGAAGCTTAAACTCATTCAGAAGGCTTGAGGCTTTCTTTTTGTCCTTTGTTGCTTTAGGGTTTATTCTTCCTCAATGATTTTTAAAAAAATAATCTTAAGCTTGTCTGTTACTTGTTCTTAAAAATAATCAATACTATGCTCTAACAGAGCCATCAAGGCATACACAAACCCAAGGCTTTTCTTATTGACAATGTTCGTATGTTTTACCTGTAGAACATCACCCCTGGACCCCATGCTGTCTCTGACGTCACACCCTGAAGACTCAGCACTGGTCACTCAGCCATTTAATGAGTCCAGTACACTTTTCTACAGAATAAGAAATTTAAGGGCACCTAGTCTCTATGGGGAGGCAAATCATACAGAAGAAGATGTATATATTATTTGTCCACTTTGATAAACTATTTTTCACATTAACTGAAATCAACCATCCACCTATCCTTTCATCCAACAAACATTAGTGAGTTCCTCACTTGAATCTAGTGACTGCCAGATCCTAGGACTATGAGGAATAAGATATCACCTTTATCCTCTGGGAGTGTTTGATGTAGTGGGGGAGGGCTTTGCTACTTTATAACCCGACAAGTGATATAAAGCATTGTGTACATTGTGCTAAGGGAGCTCCCGGGAGGGGCCAGCAGGGAGGGGGACTGAGTCATGGGGAGGCCTTGGCTGCGGAGGTGACCTTGGAGCTGAGTCTCCTGGGTCCCAGGGCAGGACCTCTTCAGCGACTTGCCCCTCTTGGCTCCCCAGGCCAAGCCAAGCACTCTCAGGTCTTAGAGTCCCCTCTCTCCCAGGGTGGTCTGCCCTGCTCACCGCTCTGCATTTTTGTCTGGTACAAGACTGTGGCAGTCACCTGCTGTGGTTCTGGACTCGAGGTGTTCACTGCAATCATTCTCCAGTTTTCTAGGCAAATTTTTTTACTTTACATCCTTCTTGTTTATACTTTCATTCAACTTGTCTTCCTTACTGGTCCTAAACCCACATTTCCATCACAATTAAATATGGGTATTTTCGCCCTTAGCGTGAATAAACACAATGCCTGTATTTAAAGAGGGGAGTTTTAAATTCCAAACAGATCATTGAGTAAGATCAGGTAGCTTACATCACATCCTTCTCAGTGACCCTCAAAAGAGCCACTTTTCAGTTAAGATACTGATCCAATCCATACAACAGTTTAGATTTTCTTGGGATTCACACATTACCCCACAGATTTTAAAGCAGGTTGGTGGTTTTAAGATTAGAAAGCCATCCTCCCACCCTTCAGCATGAAAAAGTGTTAACACAGGCACTGCGCAAATAACTGGGGCCTCTTTGCTGTTGTCCTCTGTCTGAAAAACAGGCGTCTCAGGCTCCCAGGGGCCAGGCAGGTGATGGAGTATTGTGGAGCGGGGAGGTGTGAGGTGGGCAAGAATGGGGACCTGGAACCTGGGTCCCTGCCTGCCACCCTGCTCACTGCCCTCAGCCCCAAGTCAGTCACGTCAAAAAAGGGAAACACAATGTTGGCCACACACTTCTGGGGTCTAAGTCAGCCCTTGGGCTGCCACTTTTTGGGTCCTGGTCTAAAATGTCATTGTTTTGTATTGCAGATCTCCTACAAATATCTTATCATTGCTCTCGGAATCCAGCTGGACTATGAGAAGGTACTGTTTTAAACTTCCGTGGTACACTGGCCTCCTTAAGCCAAGATCAAAACTACAGTTAGTTGCTTTATATTCTCTTTGACAGGAAAGCGTATTAAAACCTCTTCTAGGTTTTTCTTAGCAACCTTTTTGTGGTTTTAAAAAAGTCTTCTCTAAGAGTCTGTCGCTGATAATGATAAGTTCTGGCTTTAAGCTTTAATCAGAGTTCTGCACACTGATGGCCTGATGGTAATTCTTTCAAAACAGCAGCCTTTTCCACACTTAAAAGAAAAACTAGGTTTCTGTGTAGGACTGAGTTGACTGTATTAACAGATTAAATTTTCCTTTGAAAGTAAGATCTGGCTTATAAATTCCTAAGCAGACTTTAAGGGTAGAATACCCGCAGTTAGTTTATCAGTCCCTGGAAGGATGTCTGAGTTCTGTTGCATAGAGGCTGGGTGTTTTGGTATGGAGTGGCTGATACAATATAAAGGCTACCCTAGGGGTTCCTTAGACATCCCTCTTCACTGAGCTAGGAAGCCAGATGCCCTCTGACAACTGTGATTCAAGTTTAATTTTCTAAAACATAATGGAGTAAGTTAGGAATTGTGGTTTCTAGGAACTTGTTGGGGACGGTGGATAAATAGTTGGAGCACAGGAAAGCAAAGTGATGACCAGGTCACAAGTTTCAGGAATGTGGTCCAGATGAAGGCCTCATCTGAGTTGGATCAGTTAGGTCTTTGAAGTGAGTTTCTGGGTGAAAAACCAGAATCACGACATGTCCAAGGTAAGGGTAGTGAAAAAGACCTGGGACGTGTTCTGTGACAGTCCAGAGAAGCCATGAATTGGTGTGAAGATGTTATGAGTTTGGCGCCGTGGTTGTGAGTCTCAGAGCAACCAGCTGTGGAGCAGACTCCACGGAGAAAGATGCCACTTACAATTTCTGGGAGGCCCTTGCTTCTCAGAAGCCCCGCCAGTGTTGACTTAGCAAGGAGAGCCCGTCTCCATGGTCCTGTCTCCCTGGCAGCCCTGTGCCATGTGAGGAGGACTGTGTGAAGACATCAGTGCTGAGAGCTCTTCGCAGCTTCTTGCAGTAAAGTAAGAAACAACAGTATTTAAAAGTAGCTGTTCCTATGGAGTCTCTCCTCTGTGCCAGGGACCGTGCTAGGAATCTCATGTTGACTTCTCACAGCTACTTGTGAAGTAGGTATTTTTATCTCCTCTTAGTAGTTAAGGAAACTGAGGCTACAAGAATGTGAGTAACGTTACCAGGGCTACTGTGTTACTTGGCGCTCTTTGCAGATGGTAGAAAACTACTCAAGTTAATGTAAACAAAACGGGGATTTATTCAGTGAGGATACCAAGGTGTGTGGATCTCAAGGGCAGGAAGGTAGCTGGGCCTCCGGAAGGGCTGGATCTCTGATCTGGGTTCTGTTGGAGCCAAGGCAGCCTCTCTCAGCTGCCTCTGCCTGTTTCTCCCACCAGCTCCAGGTAGTCTGTGCTGCACGGCGCCCTGCTCACTGTCTGCTCAGTGCAACAGGACAGTCCACAGCTCCCACCCTACAGCCTATTGCTGTGCAGCCAAAGTGGGGGGTCAGTTCTCATCTCTTTCTCAGACTCTCCCTGCTCCTTCGGATTCAGAGTTCCCAGGGAAGCAACTTGGACTCAATGGGGGGTCATCACCCATCTCCCTAAAAGGAACTTTTTTGTCACCTTTTTCCCTTAACAGCAGCTTCTTCAGACTAGATAAAAATAAGGAAAACAGTAAGGGATCAGCTGTTTAGCTCTTGGAAGGTGACTTTCGCTTTGGGAGCTGGGAAGCGTGGCGGTCCTGTGGGGGGAGCCCTCGGCAGCGGTCAGGGGCCTCGGTGACTAGAAGGTGGTAGGTGGCTCTCTCACGCTGGCTCTTCTCCAGTTTGCTCATCTGTGTCTATGGACCGAGGATGCTTCCCTCCCTCAGCGGAGTGTCATGAGTATAGTGAATCCCAGCACAGACGCAGAACTGCAGGAACGTTACAGCGCGGGGCGGCTTTATAATAGTGGTTATTGTTGTTGTGACTGCTCATATCACAGCTACTTAAACTGTAGCAGGAGATCTAGTCAGTTATCAGAGGACTAGTTGCTGTTTGATGTGAGTATAATGGGGGAGACCGTAGGACTCTGTTTCCTTGGGACCTGAGGGATAGGTGTAGGGTGACTCCACAGGTGGGCGCCCCACAGCCTGAGCACAGCCCGGGGGGGTTCTGAAGGACCAGCCCATCTTGGTGATTTTACGATGGTTCCCTGCTCATGCCTGAGTCTCTTAACTCGCCCTGCGCCGTCCTCATTGCGCTGTATGAACTTCCAGCATTTAAGGCAAGGGCCCAATTACCCTTCCTGGCAGGACTACACTGAATACACATATGGAGCAGTCACCACGTACGCGTCATTTTTCCAGTCACTTTACACATGTGGTCTCCTTTGCTCCTGCCGGTAGTCCCATGAAGCAGTTCCTTTTATCCCCGTTTTACAGGTGATGCACATAAGCTGCTCAGTATGCGACAGGGTCACCTGGATGGCCTGTGGGAGCAGACTTCTGGGCTTGTCCTCGAGTTTCTGGTTCGGTAGGTTTAGGGTGGGGCCTGATAATTTGCATTTCTAGCAAGTCCCCAACTGGTGCCGTTCTGGGGACTGTACTTTGAGACCCACCAGTTGAGCTATTGGGTAATGTACGCCAGGGTCACACCACTCCTAAGTAGAAACACCAGGTCTCAAGCCAGGTCTGTGGGGTTCCCAAGTCCATGCTTTTAATTACCTGCCTTTGCCAGGAGCTTGATCTCTGCAGCCTGATACAGGGTAATTAAAGTTTGTTATTACTGACAGTACGGCTCTTGGTCCTGCCTGTCATTCTTCTTCCTAGTAAGGCAGCTGGTTCTCCAAGAAGGAGGTACGGCTGGCTTCTTGTCCTCACTCAGATCGTGGGATATGTTCAAATCCTGGTCTTCTGGCCAGGGAGGCCGAGATGTTCTGTGGATTGACAGGGGACTCCAGGCATCCAGCTCTGGTCTTGGCAGACCCCTCACCCACCTGCCTGCTCCACTGTGTGTGAGTCCTGGGGGCTAATAATTGTGCTGAAATATTTGACAGGTTGTAGAATTGACAGAGAACTAGGACCCGAAACATGGACTCTGTTTGCACTTTGTTAAAAAATAATTTCTTTGTGTGCTTTGTTGCAGGTTAAAGGCCTCCCTGAAGGTTTTGCCCATCCCAAAATAGGGTCCAATTATTCAGTCAAGACGGTAGAGAAGACATGGAAAGCTCTGCAGGACTTCAAGGAGGGCAATGCCATCTTTACCTTCCCCAATACTCCAGTAAAGTGTGCCGGGGCCCCACAGAAGATCATGTATTTATCCGAAGCCTACTTCAGGAAGGTATGCTTCCTTTGCAGGGGCAGAGATAAGGGGAGCAGATGGCAGAATCATCAGTTCAGTGACTGCCAGAATTCCCTTTTTGTCCATGTCAATACCTTTTTTATTTCTCAATTTTTATTACAAACATACAAAATCATATAATTAGAAATTGATAAAATAGAAGATAGGAAGAAGTCACTCATAGTCCAGTTGCTTTGGCATAGCTGCCGTCACCAATTTGACATGTCCTTCCACTTTTCCCCTGTACGTGTGTTTTAAAACGTAGTTATAATTATACTGTAATACAAATTTTGGATGTATTTCAGGTTATTAAATAGTCTTTGTAACATACTTTTAAATATGTGTATCAAAGACCACTGGGGAGATGTGTGAGAGATTGTTTAAGTATTTCTATGGAGTTACACAGTTGCACGTTTTTCATTTTTGTATGTAATAATATCCTCAGCTGCTCCGACTTAAGTTCAATGTTATGAATATTTTCTGGCTCTTGATGACAATCCTAAAGGCAAAAAATGTTCACGTAGAACTTCAAACCTTAGTGGCAAGAGGTATTTGGGTGGGGATGCTTTCTCAGCATTCCTCAGACACCTTCAGGCGTCCACAGCTCAGCTGGGAAGCTGCTTTCGCCCTCCTGCCCTTGTGTGGGATGTTGCAGTTGGTTTACAAAGCGTGCTTTGGTGGGAGACAGTGGCAGAATTCAAAGCAGCCTGTAGTTCTGTAAAGGGACAGGTGTGCAGAGGGGAGCGGGACGGGGGACTGAAGAGGTGTTGAATGGATGCTCGGAGCTGGCACTGGGAGGGCCTTCACCTGGGTCATGTAAACTCGCCCCAGCCCTTGAGGGGAGAGTCGAGGAACAGGTCCACCATTGCTGCTGTTTCTAAGAAAGGTCATTCTGGGTCATGAGAATTCTGGATTGGCACAGCCTTTTGAGGTTCTTGCCTACTCAGCTTCTTTCAAATAGTGTGATCCGGGTAAGCACATCCGAAAAGGAGCTGAACAGAGGAATAGAGTAAGAGACTAGCTTTCTTCCCTCCCAGAATTCTCTTTTGCGTAACATCTCCCAAGTCTTAGATGGCCTAAAACGACGTTTCTCTTTCAGGTGCCATGAGATCCTAGGCACCTGGGAGAAGACTGGCCTCTCTGAGACACATGAACAATAGTACAGTGTATGAGCCAAGGGGAGGGGAACTTTGTTTTGTTCACTTCTGTCCCCTCAGCACCTAGAACAGTACCTGGACTCCAGACTTCATTAACTATTATTGAGTGAATCAACAAATGAATATATGAATAAACAATTCAATTCTGTCTTCTCTTGGATTTGACCTTTGGTCTCTGGCCCTCGCTGAATGGTACCCACCTCCACCCCTGACTCAAGTGTGCGCTTAGTTGCTGTGTCACTGACAGAAAATCAGAAGGAGGCAGTGGATTGGTCCACATCCCACCACACCAGTGCACAGTGATGGAGAAAGCTGGCGAGGTCTCTTCTGAGGGTTTTAATTCTTGTTTAGGTTTAAAAAAAAGTGGCTGGAGCAATGCTTTGATGTTGGTTGTTTCTATCCTTTCCTTTTGCTCAGGTGGGGAAGCGATCCAAGGCCAATATCATTTTCAACACTTCTCTTGGGGCTATTTTTGGGGTCAAGAAGTATGCAGATGCCCTGCAGGAGATCATCCAGGAGAGGAACCTCACCGTTAACTACAAGCAGAACCTTGTTGAAGTCCGAGCTGATAAACAAGAGGCTGTTTTTGAGAATCTGAACAACCCTGGAGAGACTCAAGTGATATCAGTGAGTGTTGAGGTTAAGCGGTCAGCTGAGCAGTGACTCAAATGCAGGTGACAGGGAGGCTGCCACTTCCTTATGCATCGTCATCATCATGTGCTTTTGGAGGCTGGTTACAGTGAGCATCTTAGGGCTTTGATAGGAGAGAAGGTAACCAAAATGAATGGGGAAGAGAAAGAGATGAGGTTGTGTCTATGGGAGATGAGGAGGGTTCACCTACTGGTACCAAGTGAATTTTTATTCTCTTTTGTGTCTACTTGGCACTGAGTCACTTGAAGCAGCTGAAAATATTTCATAGCTTCAGTTAAAGCCTGGAGTTTGGGAAGGGCTCCTTAAATGCAGGACTTGGGGCTTGTCTCAGTTTATGGTTTGTGAGAATCAGTGCTGCTTGTGGGTAGTTCAAGAAGGGTGGGTGTCTCGCTTGTGGAAGAGGCTGTCTTCAGACACCTTTCACCTGTGCATCAAAGGAGATGCTTAGAAATCTGTGAAAGACCTGGGTGAGCTACACCCTATTGAAAAGAGCTTGCTTTTGTGTATGAGTTTGGCTTCTATGCGTCTGTTTTTTCTTCTGTGAAGGGGGAAAAGTACATCAACAGCAAGATGTAAAAAGGCATCTGGAGAAGGTGCACAGAGGCATCGTTTGTTTATGTCATTCTGGCAAGGGCTGTTAGCAGTGAGAAAACAAGACCCAGTTGCATTTGATTCATTCAGCATTTTTAGAGGAATGAAGGATTCCATAAAAAGAAATTTTGAATTGAACCAAAGACTAATTTTCTAAACATCTTAACATCATATTTTAAGCTTTTTAGTGCAAGCTCTTTCTACATTGTATCACACATATCTTTCCTTTCTTAAATGGTGTGTAATGACGATCATTTAAAATGTTGCTAATGACTCAAGGTCATAGTTTAAAAAACTTTTATTTGGAGATAATCTCAAACTTAGAGAAGTTGCAAAAATATAAAGAGTTAAAATAAAACTGTATATAGACTTTACCTAGATTCTCTTACTATAGAATTTTACCTCATTTGCTTTTTCATTGATCTCACTTTCTATTTCTTTCTCTCTCTCTCTATAAATATAATGTAATGTAATATAATATATTTTCCCTAAAGCATTTAAAAGTGAGTTATACACATCATACATCAAGGCCCTTCACCTCTAAATAGTCCACTGTAAATGTCCCCAGAGATAGGAGTATTCTCTTACAGAACCACAGTACAGTTACCGACCCTGGAAATTGAGCATGGGCACAATATTGTGGTCTACGACTTTGTGTTCTAGTTTTGTTGATGGACAGGCAGCATTTGTACCGCTTTCCCCTCTAGGACAGGAGCCGGTCTGCAGGCAAGTATTGCATTTAATTTTCGGGTCTCTTTAGCCTCCCTTAGCCTGGAAGGTTTCCTCAGCCTTTCTTTGTCTTCCATGACCCTGACATTTTGGCGTAATACAGCCCCCCTCCCCACAACTTTTATTTTTTAACAGAATGTTCCTCATTTTGGGTTTGTCTGTGTTTTCTTGTGATGAGTGTCAGACTGTGCTTTTTAAACTAAACTACCATGTCAGTGACGTGTCCGTCCAGGGCATCACATGGGAAAGCACACAGTGTTCGTCTGCCCCTCATTGATGGTGTTCATTTTGGTCACCAGTTAAAATATGGTTCAGTTTCTCTGCTGTGTAGTTATTATTCTTTTACCTCCTTGCTGCTAAGGAGTTGGAGTGGGGGTACTTCAAGACCATGCAGATACCCTACTCCCTACTCATTTAAGTTTCCCACTAGACAACATCCATTGATGATTTTTGTCTAATCTCGTCCTTACTATGATGGCTGTAAAATGATGATTTTCCAGTTCAGCATTTTCACCACGTTTATTGGTAGACTCTTGGCATCCTGTCAGCAAAAAGCCATCTCTTCTCAATTAATTAATTATTAGTATGAACTCATGAATTCCTTTTCCTCCCCCGCCACCCCCACCATGGTTTATATTTTCCTTAATTATTTTGGTGCTCAAGTTGTCCCAGATTTGATCAGTAGGGGCCCTTTCAGGATGGCTCCCATGACCCTGTGACATGTTTCCATCACATCTTTGAGCACTTCTTGCTTTCTGGTGTCTCAGGATGTCCCAGGCTCATAATTTTGAATAGCTCTTACATAGGGCCTAGTGGGCGGTTCAAGGCTAGTTATCACCTTATAAAATGGGCTCAAACTACTCTGTTTTTTTTTAACATTTTTTATTGATTTGTAATCATTTTACAATGTTGTGTCAAATTCCAGTGTAGAGCACAATTTTTCAGTTATACATGAACTTTATTTAATTTCGTGGGCATCCTCTTTGTAGTTTTCCAGTTTTCTTCTTTCCTGCCTGTCAGGCAGTTGAAGGCATCTTTGGAAAGTCCCTTCAGCTCTTCTAAATTGCTGCTTATTTTTTTACTGGATGGGAAATGAAATAGCCAATTGTTAAATTCTAAGTAAAGTTAGAGCAAATGGGCTGTGTGTGAGGGCCCACAGCCTCCTATTTATGAGCGGAGTGTGTGAGCCTGCATGCCTGAAGATAATTTTGTTATTTGGTTCTTTTTACTTTGGTTCTCAGCTGTGCTGTGGGTAGTTGAGGCTGCAGATAGAGACTTGGATAAGTAAATGGTTATTGTTCTTCTAAAAGGTTTATAAGGAAAGAAGATTGTGTCCATTTTGAAGTGTATGATTTCAGGTCAGATTTTCTTTCCAGACCCAGTTCTACTCTTTAACATATGAATTTCAAAAAATCTATCAAAAGTCTTTAGAGCAGTGGCCCTCAGCCCTGGCTGCACACTACAATGCCCTGGAGAACTTTTTAAACATGCTGATGCCTGAGTCCAGAGATTTTGATTAATTGGTCTGGGGTATGGACTGAGGATTGGGAGTTTGAAAAATGCCCCTAATGGTTCCCATGTGTAACCGGGATTGAGAACCGCCACGGTAAAGAATTAAATGTACCCCAAAGCCTGTAGTCTCTGATCCTTCACAGAGAGCTTGTGAACTGGTCCAAGTCACTTATGTTTTTAAAAATCTAAACTTTCTCAATGTCAGAGTCCTAGAACTGGATGGGATTTTGGAGATTGTCTAGTGCAGCACATTTCTTTCTAGATAAGGAGAGGTGAAGTGGCTTGTCCAGGTTGTAGCGTTCCATTCTTCATTGTAAATGAACCTGTTGCTTCAAGCCAGAGCTGCTAAGACTGTCATCTGTGGGTTTCATGTGTCAGAATCACTAGGGGTTTTGTTAAAGTGCGGATTCCTGTGCTTCTCTCAGACCTACTGGATTGCAATCTTAGGGCCCAGGAACCTGCGTTTTCCACAAGTCTCCCAGATGCTGCTTATGAACATTAAAGTTTGAAAATCATCATTCCGAGTAGGTTATTTATGCTATTGAAGGAGAACCAAGTTATTTATCAGATTCAGATTATGGAACTAATGGATAAAGACCAAGCTACAACTAAATGCCAATGTTATTTTCAATAAATCTGTAATGCGGACCCTAGTATTTCTTCTGCTCAAGTAGAACTCCATGCCCTTATGATTATGTGGAAATATTTAACTTCCCTTCTAGAAAAGATGTGGGGAATTCATGTGTATTTGTGAAATTCAAGCACATTAACAGATAGAGATGACTGGTAAGGGTAAGCCCCCAGCTAAAAAATAGTGGGTTCCGGTTAACTGCAGAGACACAGACGTGGCCTTCATAAGTTGGTGGGTCATGACTGGTGCCCATCCCACCCACAGTCCTGCAGACTCGTGCTCAGTCTCTGTGTTTATTAACAGACCCAGCCTCAGGGACCCATGCCCCTGAAGAACCATCCAGAGTACCTCACAGAGGAGCACTCCCATTTGCCAGACTCTTTCTTTCTTATGGTTAATTAAGTTGATGATTACCTGAGAGTGGAAATAAATACAACCCACCTTCCTGACTCCCTCTGCCATTAATGACTGCCAGGCCCCGGTGAGGGCATGGGCCTCCTGAGGGAAACCCAGGGCAGGTGACTCTCACAAGGGTAGGATTGTCTGAAGCTGTGAAAGTTTTCACCATAATGAATGTTCTGTGAACATTTAAATCAATTTGAAATTGCTATATGGAGTTTATTAAAACTACCTAAAAGAATAAACTTTCTTTATAAATAAAAGAATATTCTATGTAAATAGATAAACAAGATTATACTGTATAGCACAGGGAAATATACACAAGATCTTATGGTAGCTCACAGAGAAAAAAATGTGATAATATATATATATGTTCATGTATAACTGAAAAATTGTGCTCTATACTGGAATTTGACACAACATTGCAAAATTATTATAAATCAATAAAAAATGTTAAAGGTGAAAAAAAGAATATTCTATGTAAAGAATAAAAGGGTAAATGAGAAAATATTACATAAACAAACAGAAGAATTAAATGAGCCATCAAGATTGGTCAGGTCCATGCCCTGTTGCCTTGATAGAGGTTTTGGAAAGAAAAGTCCACCCCACCTTCTACACAGTTCAGTAAACCCAAGGCTGAAGCAGACCCCTCCTTCTCCAAAGTGCTAGCCAATATTCTTACTATCCTTTTTTTTTCATCTTAAATTGGTGTTTTGATGGTTTCCTTTATGTATTTGGAGAGTTGCCCCATATTTGGGAACAGTGCTCCCTTACCAGCTTCTCACATGGCTTTTTACAAGTTTCAGGGACTCTGAGCACCTCTTTGCAGAATAAAACTAAAGTACCAGTCTTTACAAGTAGCGCTGAGGGTCAGGGAGAGAGCAACTGAGATACACCACCCACTTTGTTTTAGTGATGATAGAGACATCAGTGTGTTCTTTTAGAAAGTGAGGTTCACTGCAGTATTTTGGATTCCCCCATGCCTCCTGCCATAGGGATCCCGTGGACTTTGTGGGAAGACCATGTCACTTATTTTATCACCACATTGCATGGGAGCACGTAAGACCTTGGAGAGGGTGTGGGTCAGTGTGAGCACTAATTGTACAGTGTTCCGAGCAGCCGTGGGACAGTGTATGGGTAAGGGAGATGGGGCAGGGCCGAGGGAGCTATAGAGGTCATGGAAAAAGCACAAATTGGGCCACTCTCCTTTTCTGTAGTACGAAATGCTTCATGTTACACCACCAATGAGCTCACCAGACGTCCTCAAGACGAGTCCTGTGGCTGATGCTGCCGGCTGGGTGGACGTGGACAAAGACACTCTGCAGCACAAGCGGTACCCGAACGTGTTTGGGATCGGGGACTGCACCAACCTGCCAACGTCAAAGACCGCCGCCGCTGTAGGTAGGACAGCGAGCCGTGTTTCCAGCCCACTCAAGATGATGTCACCCTAAGGCACCATCAAAACAAAAACAAAAGCTGGGCACAAATGGCATTTCATCATATGTTCATTATATTAATGAAGGTATATTTCATTGTCTTCATTAATAACAAAGAAACTTGTGTGGCCTAAAAATGACTTTGGGCTCCCAGCCACAGAAGCACGACATCGGTGAACCTAGTGTTGAATGCTTTGCACGAGAGTAACGTGACCTCATCTGCCCTTTCTCCGCCCAAGTGGTAGTTTTCAGGGGAGGGGGCATTAGAGCGAAGGACTGCTCTTCCAGCTCTCCGGACTTCTGTCACTTCTCATACCGCCGTGCTCACCTCCTTGGCCTTCTTTGCCCCTCATACCAGGCAGGCTGATTATTTTCCCTCTGCCTGAAATACCATAAAACACTGTAAAACTAGGGAAGCATTTGTTTGCCCAGGAAACACATGCAAGTCAATGAAAGCTTGTGGACCAGAAAATTGTTCTGTTAAGACAGATACAGTGGAGAGTGCCCTGATTGGTGCACGATTAAGGCCTCAGCCTGGAAAACTAAATCCTTCTCCTCAGTGTTCTGCTCTAGCAGTGATGGGGAGAATTGCCTTTTAGATTCTGTTCTCTGTAGACAGGCACTGTCTTCCCTAGAAGCTATAAAATACAGACCTCCCTGCCGGTGGGTATGGTAGCGTTGTGTGTGAATTACGCACCTGCCGAACATGTTGTGTTAATTTTGCTGACTGCTTCAACCTAAGAGGGACTTCCTAGGAAACCACTGAATGTCTTTTTCATTATTAATAGTCATTCCCTCCAACTTTTTATTTCAAAAATCTCAAAGCTGTGAAAAATTTGAAAGAAAGTCCAGTGAAAGCCTATATGCCCTTCAGGTATTAATCAGTTATTAATATTTTATGATCAATATAATACTTAACCAATAAATCAGTATTTTGCTTGATCCCTCTATGCACATTTTTTGGTTGAATCATTGAGAAGTAAGTTTTGACATTATGATACTTCACCCTCAAATATTTCAACCTGTATCTCCTAAGTAAAAGGACTTTTTCCTCTATACCGACAAGGCCATTATCATGCTCAAGAAACTGAGCATTGTATTATAAAATCATCTCATATACCATCCGGTTTGAATATCTCTAGCTTTCTTAAAAATGTCCTTTGTGATTTTCCCTCCTTCCCTCACCTCCCCCACCCCATCCCCCTTAAATCCACGAGCCAGTCAAGGGCCACACTCTGTACTCTGCATTGGTTGTCGTGTCTCTTTGGTTTTCTTTAATCTGAAACAGGCCTCTGACATTTGTTTTTTTACTTTCATGACATTGGCATTTTGAAGAGTCCAGACTGTTTATCTTACAGACCATCCCGCAGTTTAGAGTTGTCTGGTGGTTTTCTTATGATCAGATTCAGGTTTTACATTTTGGCAAGACCCTCCGTAGCAAGGCTGTGTGCCTCCCACTGTGTCATCTCAGGAGCCTGCCCTGTTGGTTTGTCTTGTCCTTGGTGAGGGTAGATTTCATCACTGGGTCAAGGGGTGCCCATTGGTTCTCTCCACTGTGAGTATCTTTTCTCTTTGGGATTCATAGGTAGACTGTGGGGGAGATACTTTGTTTTGTATTTTGTTTGTTTTATGAGGGGGAAGTAATTAGGCTTATTTATTTATATTTGGAGGAGGTACTGGGGATTGAACCCAGGACCTCGTGCATGCTAAGCATACACTCTGCCCCTTGAGCTATACCTTCCCCGCTGGGGGAGATACGTTGAATTTACATTTCTCTTAACATAAGCCTGATGAATTTGGAAATACCTGTGATGTATGTGATGTCCAGATTACCCAACTTCTGGCCACTGCAAATACACATACACTTAATTCAGTGTTCCAAATAGAAAATATTAAGTATGATTAAACAAAAAGTGGTAAGTGAAAAGTCTTGCTCCCAGCCCCGCCTTCCATTTGCTCAGCTTCTACCCTCCCTCCAGCCAGAGAGCATCCCTATTGTTTTTACATGTTTAAAAATTCTTTAAATTTAATTTTGTTATTATTTCTTATGACCTATATTCCATTGTATTGTTGCTCCAGAATTTATTTAATTAATCCACAATTTATATGTATATCGTTTGCAGCTCAGTTTTATTTCAAACAGTACTGCAGTGAATGCTCTTCTTTGTACGTCATTTCTTTTGACCTGTGTGAAAGTCTCTTTGCTCTTCTCTGTAAGGGTGTCTATATAACAGGAGTCCTAGCTTTCCCCACATGGATCTGCACTTATCACTAGGTTCGCCTCTCCAGGTCCTCTGAGGATCCCTAGGCAATGCTTACACAAGTGCCACAAATCCATCCTTGGCTTTACTTGCCACCAGCCATGTGTCTTACCTCAGTCCAGACCACCATGGGGCAACTTATCTAGGCTGTCTGAAGCAGGTCACAGGGGCATCCCAGATACTGGACGCGCAGACCAGGCTGACACCCATTGGCCCCTAGGAGGAGGGGGAGTGGCGTTGGGGTAGGGCCACACTTAAGAGTCCTCTTGTTTAAAATTGCTGGCCTTTCTGTTGGAGGCAGCTGGCTCTTCAGTTTCAAACTTACGAGTTATCTGTGTGGGCCTTTGGTGACCTGAAGAATCCCTGTTGGTAGCCAGCACTTTGGGTGGTAAGAAGAGTTGTGTTCTAGTTACATTCTAGAGGGATGGGGAATGGAGCCTTCTTAACTTGTTCACATTAAAGTTGTTTGCAAATTAGTTTCATGGAAAATCTAGAAGCTTATGTTTTTCTGACTTTTCCATTTCTCATATAGCCGCCCAGTCAGGAATCCTGGACAGGACAATTTCTCTGATCATGAAGAATCAAACACCAGTGAAGAAGGTTTGTGTACCTTGTAAGAATCACTGTCTCCTTTACTGTCTCCCATTCTGCCCAAAAACAGTTTGTTGCTTTCTTGGTTTCTCTAATATGGGCACTTCAGAGTTTGCCTTTCATATATTTTTTGTTATATAATTTCTATTTTTCACTATAGAAAAAATTAGAATATACAAAAAATAGCAACTGCTCAGAGTAAATAATAAATTCTAAAGTGTCGAGGTAGCAGCATGAAAAAAATCACTTTCTAACTCAGTCTTACGGACAATTTTAGTACGATGGCTACACGTCGTGTCCACTGGTGACAGGCTACAACCGTGTGATTCTTGCGGAGTTCGACTACAATGCTCAGCCCCTGGAAACCTTCCCCTTTGACCAGGGCAAAGAGAGACTCTCCATGTACCTCATGAAGGCTGACATGATGCCCATCCTGTATTGGAACTTGATGCTAAGGTGAGTGCATCGCCCGGGAGAGAGGCACACCTGTTAGCAGATGGCACGGACTTGTGCGGGGTACTTGTTTTAAGGAGGCCCTCCAGCTTCAGGAGATAAGCCCAAAGCAGGACTGGTGAGAGGGGCCCACCTGGCTGTGCCATTCTCAGGGATCAGTGATGGCAGCCTGAGAAGGGTTCTGGAGCCTCAGCCAGATGTGGCGAGAAAGGGGCTGCCCTGGCTGAGGGAGGGGAGCTCTAGCGCAGCTCCCACCCCCGGGGGGTGCAGCCTCTTCTCTTCACTACTGACAGTGAGCAAGTTCTCTGTCTTCTGTGTTCTGGCTCTCTCTTGCTGCTGGGTAAATCATCATCGTCATCATATTAAATCACTTTGACTTGTCAAGTACTTTATCATCTGCTACCTTACTTTTGTTTTTATTATGTTACAGGAAAAAGAAAACATAGTGCTTAAGAGCATAAGCTTTGGAGTCAGACCTGTGTTTGAGTCACGTGTCTGCCGTTTGTTGGCTGTGTGTCTTAGGGCAAGTTGCTTAAACTCTCTGTGTTTAAGTTTCTTATCTGCAAAATGAAAGTCCTATTGCCTTCCTTCTAGGATGGGGATGAATGAGACAATACACAAGGAGACAGCTACAGTAGTCATTAAGTGAATAGAGTTACAAAATTACTAATTCTTCTTCTTTGTTACAAAGAAAAATCTCATTTGATTTTCCCAAACCCTTTGAGAAAAGTAAGTCAAAATATCAATACCAGTGTTTTTCAACTAGCAATTATTTTGCTCCCCAGGGGACATTGGACAATATCTGGAGATATATTTTGTTGTCACAACTGGAGGGGATGCTCCTGGCATCTAGTGAGCAGAGGCCACAGATGCTGCTAAGCAGGGCAGCCCCCACAACAAAGAAGTATCCGGTCCAAAATGTCTGTAGGGCTGAGGTTGAGAAACCCTGACCTATACTTAGTTTATGAGCAAATGCAAGTAGAGAGGATGGCACTTTGCATGCAGTAGAGGCTTCGTCCAGGTTTGCTGAATTGAGCCAGCATGTTCAGGCTCACAGAGCAAGTCAGTGTCAAAGCCAGGACTCGAAGCAGATTACCCACAGGCTCTTTCTACGTCACTAGACAAATCTTGCTCTGTGGCCTGAGAAGCATTCTCTGTGAGCAGCCTGGCTTCCCTTTTAACATCCTGCTGGCTGGAGTCTTTTCTGATGCAAACACCTTTTCTGTGTCACATCTTAACAGGGGCTATTGGGGAGGACCAGCCTTTCTGCGGAAATTGTTCCATCTGGGTATGAGCTAAGGGTGGCCCAAACCCGGCTCTCCTTGGATGGCTTCCGGACCAGAATCGCAGCCACTGACTGACCGAGAGCAGCGTGAAGAACTCAAAGCCTAACCCCGTGAAGAATCCACTGCTGGGTGATGGTGACCCAATGCCTGCCTTTTCAGTACCTCTGCACGGCCTCCATGCGGGCTGCCCAGGAGGAGCTTGAGTCTTTGGAAACATGCAGATGAAAGAATAGACATCTATTTTTTAAATAAAAGCTTGCCATTGATTGAGACTCTATGAGAAAATATTATCTTGACTAGTGGCATGAAAAGTTACAGCCCTTGGGAGAAAAAGATTGTGGTAGGGGGATAGCTCACCAGTCATCTACTTTGAGTATTCCACTAGGAACTGGCATAATTTTGGTGAAAACCAGAGTCTGTCTGGATTTGCAGAAAACAAGAGTCATTCCAGGGAGAATATTATTCCAAACATTGTCTGTGACAGCCCTGAACGTATGCTTTGGGGGCACTGTGGATTGACAGCCCAGCTGCTGCCCCTCTGTTTCACCACCATGCTCATGCTGAGGCCCTGTCTCCTCCCCGCTGGTGACTGACACTGTGGGGAACTCGTGCTGGCCCGTTCCTGTAGGATGTGGAACTCCTCTGCCTGGCAACTTTGGCCCCAGGATTCCACATCAGCCTGGTTAAAACCTTCTGAAAAGTGCATCCCATGTGAGATGGTTCTCCCCACCCCCCAGCCCTCCCCTGTTACTTCCCTTCCTCCCTCCCTGTTCCTCCCCTGCCCGCTTTCCCAGGTGTCCCTCCCACATCATGGTCTGAAAGCCTCCCTGCCCTCACCTGTTCCTTTTCCTTTAGCCCTGACAGACGTTTCCCCCACTAAATCTCTCGTAAATCCAATTCTCCCATGGCCCCTGCTTTAGCAGAGAATGTACCTACAGTGAGAATGGCATTGATTCAGTTCCAATTTTGGCCAGTAAAATTTTGAAGGAGCTCGCAATGGAAATATTGCAGGAAGTGTAGTTCCAGTTTACTTGAAGTTCAGCAATGGCTTCAAAATCATTTGTTTTCAGTTTATTCAGAAGCTTATAGTTTCAATTCAATCTGGAATTTGAAAGCTTTGCATATTTTATATTTACTTATTAACCCCACCGAAGGGCAATGCCTTAGATTTTTTGGATCTATTTTATTAAAAAAAATTTTTCTTAAATGGAGGACTGGGGATTGAACCCAGGACCTTGTGCATGCTAAGCATGTGCTCTACCACTGAGCTATTATCACCGCACTGCTGCCTGCCACTGCAGTGCCTTAGATTTTTAACAGTTCTAACCTAAACAATTACCTAGTTTAGGTAACAGTGTTACCTAGGATTGCCAAGTCTTTCTGCTTTCCTAAAGTTCCCCATGATTCTAGAGACTCTGCTCAGGAATTCATTCATTCATTCAGTCAGCAAGAATTTACTGAGCATCTCCTAGCTGCCAAGCACTGTCCTGACCCAGGGGATGCAGCGGTGAACCAGACAGGTAAGGGCCCGGCCACGTTTTGTGGCTCCTGTGATAGTTTCCGCTCCTCTCCCTGGGATGCCAGGGAGCTTGCTGAGTGAGGCCTTGGTTTGATTTGGAAAGATTTTCTTCGGTGGCGCATGTTGTGAGGAGGAACAGGGTAGCACCCTAGCAGCAGACCCTTAATCTGGCAATAGAAGTGGGAGATGTTATCCGAATGACCTGTTTAACATGTTATTCTGGCATAGCTCTTCACAGCGCCCCCTTTCCCTCTCCACATGTTCCGTTTGGACAATAGATTTTATTGACCCCTGCAGTGATCACACTCACCTCTCCCACCCCCACCTTCTTTCTAGAATAGGAGAGCCCTGCTCCAGAAGATGGCACTGCCTTTCACTATGTGGTGCTGGTGAAACCAGTGGAGGTGGGGTTCATCTGCCCTATTCTTGGGGTCCCCGGGCCTTGGCAGAGTTCCTGCCTGAGACAGCTGCAGCCGGGTCCTAGGGGGCTGCTGAGTCCGGGGAGCTGGGGGCTCTTCATCCTGAATGATCATTCTCTGCAAAGTCGAAGGAGTCCTGGGAATAAACAGACATGACTGTTTCCCCAAATGTGGATAAAAATGCATTTTCAAAGAGTGAGGCTGTGATTCTGGGAAAGGCTGAGGCTCCGGGTTGAGTCACTTAGAAATCCCTCACCGGGTGCCCTGGAGCCTCCTGGGCCTGCTTATGGTCGTGCATTCTGAATAAACCTCCGAGCATCAGAAAATTGCTTCGGTTCACATTATGCTGGGCAGAATTTATTGCCAAGGCTGGAGGGAGCCGTAGCGACTATTGGCCAGTCCACTGGTCTCCAGCTTTCACTCCTTGGAGTTGGGAAAGATCAGAAATGTGCTGAATTACAGAAAATTTTGACCTTTGAAACCATATCCTCTTAACCATAATTGTGGGGTTGGCCAAGGGAGAGGCCTTCCTCTGGACTGCCTGTGCTTCTCAGGGCCAGCCGCAGGAAAGGGGGCGGGGTGAGGGCAGGGCAGGGCCGTGGTCTCTCCCAAGGGGATGCCCAGGGTGTGGTGAGGTTGCAGGCTTGCAGGTCCCAACCTCCAGAGGGCTCCAGAATCCAGAAGTGACCCAGCGCCAGGACTGCAGACTCGGGAAGTCCCTCCTCGCCCCTGCCCCTTGTCCCCAGAGCTTCTTCCCTCTAAATTTCTGCCTTGGTGTCAGCTCTGGGTGAGCTGTGGGTATAGTAATAACAGAGCTGGGCAGCCTTAGGGACCACCAAGATACAGGGAGGGAAGTGAGACTTAAGGGGGCAGGGGGAACACAGGGTTTCAGATTTAGTCTTTTTTTTTTTTGGTATTAAAAACATTTATAGTTTTTTCTTTTTTAATGTCTAAATTTTTTAGAGAGCAGAGACCAACAAAAGGAATAAAAATCACTCCAAATCCATCATCCAGTTGTAACAACTAAGAACATCTTGGTGCCTCTCTCTCTATTGTCCTAATATGACTATTACATATAAGTTACTGAAAATAAATTGGATCAGATGGTAAGTGCTGTTTTGTGACCTGTGTTTTATACTTAATGTGTGTTGCAGATCCAGTGGTTGGTTATACAGAGTTGGAGGAGATCAGTTAGTAATTACTCAAGCTACACAGATCCTTTGCTGGCTGATAAAACTGCTAATGAATTAATGTACCAAATATACATCACGTGCCTAGAACGGTATTGGTATATGGTCAGCACTAGATGCTTTTGTCACATAATCCTCACACAATCCTACTAATAGAACGATCAGACCTGGAACATTGTTCCTTTTTAGGAAGGTGGATTTGTAATGCAACATTTTAGAGTAGCTCCTCTGACCGTTACCACAATCAACTCCAGTCTGGTTTTCAAGCAAACTTCCCCTTCATGCCCTAAGACCACAGATGAAACTTTCGTTCAGGACAGGCTCATTGAGATCATTTCAGGGAGGGAAGGAACAAGGGCAATGCTTTGGAGATGAGGCTTTCTGAAAGGATTAATGAAAACCGAGTCTCTCTGGTTAGGTTAACTGCCAAGTTGCTAAGGAGATTGTCTACATGCTGGAGAAAGTCAAGGATAATACTTCGTAACAGATAGGTAGAGAGGACACAAGAGACCCTTGGGAAAGTTGGATGGTGAAATATTGAACAATTTTCTCCCCCAATATTGATTTTTTTAAAAGTAACTTCCCTGGAGTAGTGCATGCTGTGAACAGCCCTAAATTAAGTTATAACTTTCCATGCATGCAATAAAATTCCTGTAATTGCATCCCTCCGTGGCCCCATACAACTTGGGGCCACTCCCAGGGGGACACAGGTACAGAAAGGCAGGGACTCTGGTGCTGTCCTGGCAGAAGCTGGGTTCAGATGCTCTCGAGGGACGGCTGGACAGAGCACAGGATTCGCAGCCACAGATTGGGATTCAGGTCCCGGCTCTCCCACTGACTAGTGCCTCACTACGTCCCACTCAAGAATTTTAATCACCACTTTGTCACCTGTAGAGCGGGTAATAATCCCTACTTCGCAGAGTTAATGTAAGCACTAAATGAATCGAGGCACAGCTCTCAGCACTTTGGCACGTAGACTGTAGCTATTACTGTTGTCATCAACTCCTGGAGTTGAATGAAGCGCTCAGAAATACAGCTTCCCCTTAGACTAGCAATTCCTGCCTGTCTGGGTGAAACGGGGTCATGGTGGGGCTTCCAACATCCTTGTTCTAACAAGGCGGATGGATTCTGTTACTAGACACCACCATGGCTTCCGGCCTCGTTTTCGACAGACTTTCAGAGCTGAGGAATTGCCAGCATGACGGATTAGCCCGTGAAGGGCAGTGGCTAAGAGCTCAGCCTGCCTGGGTTGGAGTCTCACATCTGCCTCCTACTGGCCGTAGGACCTAGGGGAGTGGCTGAAACTCTCTGGGCCCCTGGCTAGTTTAGATCACAGATGGCCCTTTGTATTCAGTCTCCCTTGCGCTCCATCAGTCCCTCTCTCCAGGGTGTACAAATACATATGATAGGCATGTGCCATTGGATAGACTGCCGGTTATAGGGGTTCATTGACTGCAAGAATTCATTAGCAATTGCTCCCACAAACATTTTTGGGGCATCTAATCTATACAAGGCCCTGGGGATTCAGAGATGAAAGCTTTGTCCTCAGTGAGCTCTGCTGGATTCTTTATGTGAACTGCCAAAATCAGGTGTCCCGTCTGTACGTGCTCAAGCATTCAGAATATGCCGCTGACTTATACCAGGCATTCAGGGAAAATATCCAGAAGAAGGCAAAGTTTAAATTGAGTCCCTGTCTTAGCCAAGACTCATTTGGTTCCAGGAGAGAGAAATCCAACCCAAATAAGCCTAAGCGAAAAAGGGGAGCTTATTGGCTCATGTGACCGGGAAATTCAGCTGTAGACTTAGGGTTGGCTAGATCTAGGAACTGAATAAGATAATCAAGGTACTCTGTTTTTATCTCAATTCTCTTAATTCTTCTCTCCTCTGAGTCATGCTCTGTGACAGACAGGCTTTCTCACTGTGCCAAGGAACAGGGCTACATGCATGTCCCCCTGGCTTGGCTTCCGTAGAGGAAAGAAACTTTGCTTTCTAAATGTCCATAGACCTGTTCTAGGAAGATTATGAGTATCAGCTGATAAACAAATAAATGTGTTTCCCCTAACCGAATGAGTGCTTTTTGGCTCAGTCCCTAAAACAGTATGACCTAGGACAGCATTAAGTTCTCAATAAATATTTTTTTAACT